GTGCCATAGAAAGTCAGAACTGAAAGGCATCTTAGACTAAGTGTCTTGCCTCTTGCTCCCACCAGGAGGAAAAGTTAATGGCTCTTCCATAGCAAATCAGTTGCTTAATGGATATCTTAAGTACATTTATATAAAACATTGGGGCTTTCCCCTAGCATTTTTTATTCTTTTTGAGACAAGTTCTAGCTATGCAGTTCAGGCTGGCCTTGAACTCAATTGAACCCAAGATCCTCCTGTCTCAGCCTCTTGAGTGTTGAGATTGCAAAACTATAACATAGTACCTCGCTCAGTTGATTCTTAAATCAGCTCAATTGATTATTTTTTATTTTAAACTTCACAGATTGTGATTTCATCTCTAGAAGCTCAGTTAGGTGTTTTACATTTTCTATAGGGTACAGGTAAAGGGCTGTAGAAGAGTAACAGAAAAATGATGGAAAAACCTCTTGGTGCCTAGGGATGGGAAAGGTCCAATGACAAGCCCTGGGTTCCCAGGACAATGTGTGGAGTCAGAACCTTAGTTGGGCATCACCTTGATGGGGGGACGCCCATTGTTCAGAAGCAGTTTTCCTAAGACTAGAAACTGAAAAGGACAGAAACCTCTCCTGTCCTCAGCATAAGTCCAGTACAGAGGTAAAGCCACTGCCATGCACAACCCAGGACCTCAGGGGACAGGGTTGCAGGGAATGCAGCCACTCAGAGGAGGCTGAAACTGCTGTCCTCCAGCCTCCAGGCTGCTCCACCATCAGCCCACCAGAGAAGAATGTGGAACTGTGACTCATGGTTGGGGACCACAGCTCCAGTTCACAGGAGGGAACCACAGCTCCAGCTCATGGGAGGAGACCAGTGCTCCAGGTTCATGGGTGGGGACCACAGCTCCGACTCACAGCAGGTTACTGCTCCAGGTTCACAGGAGGGCACCGTCTTTCCAGCTTCACGGGAGGGGACCACAGCTCCAGGTCACAGGAGGAGCTGAATTAATGTTTAATGTCCAGCTCAGTGATTCTCAGTTTTCCCACCATAATAGATTGAAGAGAAAGAAAGATAACACAATCATGTCAGTATTGGGAGCTAGACTCCAACAGACACCTGCAGCAGTGATTTTAAACAGAATCATGGGCATCCCCTCTGTCCCCATATTTCGGACCAGAGAATTTGTGCAAACCTTGGTGTGGACACTGGAGGGTATGTGAAACTTGAATAAACCTCTGGGTGATTCTGATAAGCTGCAAGTACCAATCTTTTAGACCATAATGTCATCTATTGTGCATCCCACTTTCTTGCAGTCATTGAACTGTCCTTCTCTGTTTCCCGTTATTTCTTCATAGAATCTCACAGTCCTTGCGTAGTCGTCTAATCTTGACTCAGCATCTCACCCACAAGTTCTCTTTTACCCTGGCAGTTAGTCATTTCCACTTGCTACCTAAAGGCTTGGTGTGAGGAGACAGTTATTTCCTGGAATTCTCTGTCAGGCAGTTCCAGGTTTTTGTTAAGTCCGGCTGGAACTTGCTACCCTGGAATTTTTCACTGACTGGGAGGGCTGTGGCTTTATTCTATGTGGGGTAGAAGTCCAGTTCATTTAGCCATTGCTAATGCTGTTAAGATCCCCCCTCTTGTCATCTTCCTTTGGGCTAGTTCTCTGAGCTGGCATGGATGGTGCTCCTTACCACACCCTTCTCTCTCTCAAGCTTCATTGAGGCATGACTTTCAGACGGGTCCTGCTTCTCTGTGATCCATTCTCCATGACTACCAAAAAATTTAAGTATGGGCTAGCAGAATGACTCAGTGGGTCAAGGTACTCAGTACCAAGACTGATACTTGAGTTCAGTGCCCAGTTCCCACATGGTAAAAGGAGAGAACCACATCTCAAAAGTTGTCCTTTGACCACTACACAATGCATTGTGACATGGTAGTGCCCCCCCAACACAAATAAATAAATGTAATTAAAAAATAAAAATATTTTAAATGAATCAAGACATTTTTCTTCCCTCTTTGGATCCTTCTGGACACCTACCATGACTTCTGGAATTAAATCCACACTTCTTTAATATGTTGAGATCCATCATGATCTTACCCCTGCAAACCCTGTCCCTTGGTCTGTATCACTAGATACCAGCCTCAGTAACCATCATTTGGTTCCGTGAGCTGCTCTTGTTTGGCATCTCCTCTTTCCTGTTTTTGTGTGGCAGGCTTCTTCTCACCCAAGGCCAGTCCCTTTCATCCCCAGAGGCCCTTAGGAGTCAGTTCTTTACTGCTGCCCCTTCTTAAGGTCAGGGGTCCCCTACCATGTTACTGCTAATCTGCTGCTACCTAGAGGCAAAAAGCTGATCATGGTGAGTTTTCAGTGAATGCTGGTGGGTTAAGTAAAAGATGAATGGTTATCCATGTAATAACATCACTTATTTTTATTCATGGGTTTCTGTTAGTATATCTTGATTTTTTTTTTTTGTTGGTGGTGGTGGGTTTTTTTGTTGTTGTTGTTTAGGGGAAGAGGTCAGTGAAGGGGTATTTATTTCGTTGTCAACTCACATTGAATACCAGATCACATAATGCTGGTATTTGAACATGAGAACTAGAAAGATTTCTGTCCAACTAAGATGCGGGATGTGAGAGAAGCTAGAGTCAAATGGAACTCCAGAGTTTTTCACCCAGAGCAACTGGAGACATGGGGTCATCACGACTGAAGGAAGGAAACCTGAGTGATTAGGTTTGGGGTGGTAGAGAGATCAGGAATGAATCTGAGATTTGAAAGTAGAAGACACTTGGCTCTGTAATTCATACTGGCTCTATTTCCTCATTAATAATTCCACATATTGTGCAGATAATAGTTTATGTGCATAGCTCAAAGCAACATACCTGAAGCTGATGAGGAAAAATGAATTGATTTAGCATAGTTATTATGTCCTAGGATTTTTTTTCAATTCCTTTGCATAAGGATAGTACCCCAAATTGTTTCCTATTAAGGTTTTTGTTTTTGTTTTTTTGGTCTTTTTGAAACAGGGTCTCCCTTAGCTCCAGCTGTCCTGTAACTCACTATGTAGACCAGGCTGGCCTTGCGCTCACAGAGATCTGCCTGCCTCTGCCTCCTGAGTGCTGGGATTAAAGGCATGCGCCACCACTCCTGGCTTCCTATTAAGGTTTTATACTGTATGAAGTACAATTTTCTTTGGTATAGAATGATTAATATTCACTTATACAGTTGTAAATTAAGGTATTGGTTTGGAATATCTAAAAACATTTTTCTTGGCTATCTGCAAACAGTGAACATCAAAAATATATTACATTCTTTCACTAATTAGGAAATATCTTCAACAGCAAATGTATTCTGTCTCTACTGTGGGAAAGACGAAACACTAGATTCTGAAAAGCTAATGTCTCCAGGATAGAATTTACAATGTTGTATTCTGAGGGTTAATATAAGCATTTTTATGAGCATTTAACATAAAAGCCTAGTGTAAGAAATGCAGGGCTGCCATTATGAATGAAAGCCCATGAACTTCCACATTGATATCAAGAGCAGAGCCTGGAGGATTTGAATGCATCGTCTTGGTTTCAGAGGAACACCAGGGCTTGCTTGGGACAGAAGAGAAAGGGCCCTTCGGCCAGCACATATCCATGTCAGGCAAGCATTGTAATACTTTCAGTGCATTTAATTGGCTTTATTATCAGGAAAAAAAAATCACATAGATAAAATTACAGTCTTATGGAGTTATCAGATTCAATTAAACCTTATATTTTAAAAGGTCTCAACAAGTCTTATTTGGAGTCTTACTATCTCAGTTCCATGTATGTAGGATGTTTGTATATATTTTAACTGTGTAACATGTAACATACTTAAGCAGCTTCCCAAATAACCCAAGCCCCTCATGTTTACATAAAGTCCTTTTGAAGTATAATGGTTCATGAGACAAGTCTTCTATTCTAATATAAATTGAGAAAAGGCCAGAGCCCTTTCTGTGTTGTCTTTGTCACAGTAAGGGAAGGACCTAGGGGCCCAGAGAGCTCCCTCACCTGGTTCCCTGAGTCAGGGCTCCTGTGTATCTTGGTCACAGTAAGGGAAGGGTCTAGGGACCCAGAAACTGCCTCACCTGGTCCCCCAAGTCAGCCTTTATAGGAGCACTTTTTGTTCTTGGAAGGTAATTTTGGCACTTCACACACATACAAACATATTCAACATACAAACACAATGCTAATTGTAGTTCACAGTTCCTGAGCACAGCGTAAGTGCCAACCTTGGCCATAGGCCTTTTGCATATACTATTTTTGTTAATAGCAGCAGTTCTTCAAGGGATGTAGTCTGTCATTCTTGGGCAGCAGCTCAGGACAGTGAAGAGCAGAGGGTTCACACATTGTCTACCACCACAGATTTTGAGTTAGACTTGGTTTTCATACCAGGCAGTGTAGCCAGAGCCTGCTTTCAGCAGCTGTGCTGCCCTTCCACAGAGCACAGGTCAAGAGACACACGCTGAGGTATACCAAAGTCACTAGAGCCTCCTAAATAGAGTGTGTTGTTAGATGGGATTGGGGGAATGAATCACAGGGTAAACTTGCTGTGAAAGTGTGGGGACCCGAGTTCAGATACCTAGCACCCACATTAAAAACCCAGGCACAGTGACATGTGTCTGCAATCCCAACTCTGGACAGTGGAGGCAGGTAGATCCCAGGAGCTCACTGGCACAGCCTCGCCTCACCAGTGAGCTTCAGTTCAGGGAGAGGCCCTGTCCCACAAAATAAGGTGGAGAGTGATTCAGGGAGACACTAGACACTAACCTCTGGTTTCCACATGCCTGTATACACATACATGCTACACACACCCAAAAGAAGAAATTGTTTTATGAATAAATTATACATGTAATTTGTTTTGTATACTATGTGTATAAACTGTGGCCATAGTTTTATTTCTGTCTTCTTCCAGCATAATAAAGGATATATTTGAGACTGTTAGCAGTGTTTAAAATGAGCACGGTAAACACTAATTACGATTTTTGTTTCTTTCTTTTCAGCTTCATGGTTTTCTCCGAATGAGAAGATTCTCATTGTCATTTTCCCAGTTTTGGCCATTCTTCTGTTCTGGGGAAAGTTTGGTATTTTAAGTAAGTATTTTTCATTTAGTAATTCAATGATTATTTGTAGTTCACTACCAGTAAAATGGCCTGTGTAAATAACTTGTATTGAGGAGTGCTGTTGTGATAAGTAAATTGAATATTAATAGTTTCTCTACAGCATATATTTCCCCCCTATTTCCTACAGCCCATATATAAGTTTAAGAAGGTATTTTGGTGGGGGTGGGCAGTGGTGGTAATGTTTTAAGATCTGTTTAAGAGTAACAGGTTACGGTAATATTAGTAACAATGCCACCTGAAACTCCTATGGCGTTGTTATTTACAAATGCCATTTTACTTAGTAAACAGATGACCACAAGCTACATTAGTGTGAAATGTGAAGAAAGAGCCTTATCCTCTGGAGCCCTTGGGTGCCCTTCTTCATTTTTCCAGTTTGAACTGGTCTTCAGCCGAAGTCCCATTTGTACCTAGGCTTGTCCTCCATGTTCAGCTCCATAGCACTTAGGCAGCCACGGGAGAGCTGTGTTCTGTGATCTTACTTTGCCCTGACAGCTGAGAAGCCAAAGCTCTGAGGGCCAGTGTTGATGCTCTATCTGGTTTGCCATCCATAGTATAGAATTATCATTACAGGGTAATAAGTTATATGCATTCTAGTTAAGGTTTATACTCGACAGTACTTTCATACAAGCTTATAGTCATACCCTCCCTCATGCCCCATCTTGCCAGTATTTCCATACTAGTTTGGTAAAAGAAATTGGCTAAATCAATGAAGTTCTGAGTTGACAGATCTAAACTCTCAAACTTATAAAATGCAAGATCTAGTCCTACTCATCCTGTAAGCACCCTGAAATAGTCAGTGAGGAACAGTAAACACCAGTACAGGTAAGATGTAAATCCTGCTGACTTAATTTGTTCTGCAGTCTTTAGAAAAGTGAACACTGCTATATAATTGCAGAGGACAGCCTGTTGTATATTTCATGAACTTTCCTATCCTCAGAATTTGAAGCTGTGTAGAACAGAAGTGAGCTGAGTGGGGTAGATTCGAGGGCTTTGCTCAAATGCCTAGCACTCTGGAAATGCTTAGCAATTTCAGAAATGTTCTCAAGTTCTGCCTAAATGGAAGGAAGGGGAAACAAGAACTGATGGTGCAGCTGTCAAGACATTTCATAATTCTTACCTTCAAGACAGTGTAGACTTCCTTGAAAGTTATCTTAGAGGTTCAATAAGCCTTTCGTTTTAAGGAAAAGACTGATACCATCTCAGACCCTGCTCCATAATGGCTGATGTTGGTGAAAGCTTTTAACCACATTGGCATACCCAGGCTTTCAGGGCTGAGTCATATGATGAGACAGTGAACAGCCATTTTTATCAGAATGATTTCATGTCAGTGTTACTGAATTTGGAGTGACAGAAGTTTTCTAGTTATTATGTTGTCAGTAGCATTATCTTCAGTGGAATGAAGCTGAAATAAATCTGTTTATGATCAGCCATCTTTTTTTTCTAATAATTTACTTATTTTTATTTTATGTGTATGCATGTATTGCCTGCATGTTGGTAAGTGTACCCATGTCGTGCAATGCCTGTGGAGAACAGAAGAGACTGTCAGATCCCCTGGAACTAGGGTTACGGACAGTTGTTAGCTGCTGTGTGGGTGCTGGGATTTGAACCTGGGTCTTCTGTGAGTCAACAGTGTTCTTAACCACTGAGCCATCTCTCCAGCCCCAATCAGCTATCTTTATACAAAATAAACTTAATGGTTTTTTTTCTGGTTGTAGAATACATTATATAGGAAACTGTCAAGAAAAAAAAAAATCATTGGTCAGCCCCAAATCTATAAATAAGCTATTGGAGTGTTCTGGTGACTTTCCAATGTTTTTTCCCCTCTATTTATTTCTGTTATTTTTTTTAAAGGAAACTGTAAATGGGCTCATAGAGCTTATGTGTTTGTCCATCCTTGTGTCCCCAGTTCTTCAGGGTGTGGCTATGGCTGCCTGTGTTCTCCTGCAGTGACTGTGTGTAATGTACTTAACATTCATCCTACCAGGTATTAATGATGTTTCCCAACTCTGATACTATGAAATTAACTCTGGTAAGTCTATGAGTCTAGGGATGACTGCAGTAGTTGAAGTCTCGGGTTATACTCTGCCAACACATGTTGTACATGAGAATACCCATGTTCCCTTCAGAGTCCTGACATTGTTACAATTGGGGAAAAAAAAAACTTTACTAATTTGACATGTGGATATACTTTACATTTTCAGTTTTGTCTTAATGAACTTTTTTTTATATTTTTCTGACAGTTATATGTGAAAGAGTATGTTTATGAACCTAAAGAACTACTTATTAGAACTATTTATTAGATATATTTTTCTTTTGACTCATCTTAAACAAGTAAATACAAGTGGGAAGTAGGGGAGGGGGAAGGAGTGGGTATGTGGAAGATGAACCTCTACTTGTTTCTCCCAGCCTGGCCTCACATTTAAAGGTGTTGATTAGTAATAACGGCAGCTAAATATTTATGGAGCTCTTCCTCTGAGAGACATTCACCTACTGTGTCAAGTACTCTATACCAAAATCATTATGTGCCATAGGGACTCTGTGGATGTAGGTACTGTGTTCGTTCCTCTTTTGAAGATAAGAGACACAGGCAGTTTGTCTACAGTTACCCAATTGTTTCCTGTTACTCTTGGATTTGGACAGTGCTGTTTACCACTACACTGCCTCCTTGTCTTGAATTTCTTTGCTTTGAAGGGTGAGCATGTCTCTAGTTTCCCACTCTGAGCTGATGAAACTGTTAGCAGTAAAGCAGAATGTTGATTTATTCTACCAGTGTCCACTGATAGGGTACACACTAGCTGCTGGGCACTGAGCTAAATGTTGGAGGTGTGGAACCAAGTGCCCATGCCTGTTGGCTTTGTTTTACATGTCTGTCAGTGTAGTCCAGAGATGTTGTGCCTACCTATCTTGCACTTGACCTGAATCTTTTCCTTATTTTTATTTTTCTGGTCCTTTGATTAGAGGCTTTGTGGCTCTGGCTAGAGCATTCCACCTAGGAAGTCATAATTGCTTAGTACCCAGTATGATCATTGCCCTTACACTATTAATAGTAACACAGATCCCTGACCTTAACTGTCTAGGTCTCTAGTTCTTTTTAACTTTCCTGACCACATTTCTGGTCTGTGCTTGATCATTTCTCTCAGTGGTTTCCACTCCTGGAGCCTCATCAGAATTTTGTGAGCCCCTGCTCATGTCTTCGAGACAAAGGTCGCCTACGTGGAACTCTTCCTAAGTACGTTTGTCTTTGGTATGAACTTACTATGTTTGAAAAAGGATCTCTATGCTCAGCAAACAGCTCAGAGATTACTAGGATCAAATACTGAGTCTTTACCTATTGGAACAGTATTAATATCTAACACTTTGTCCTGAAAATTCTATCAACTCAGAGTTTGTCCTGCTGTAGACACATTCCTGGCTGATTCAGGGTTCTTCATCTTCTCTGTAATTCCATAATAAGTTCTTTGCAACATTAAATGTTTATGTGTGATTTCCAGTGCTGCTTCCTGGTCTTCTAGTTCTTGCAGGCTTAAGGCCCTGCTCTATGTAAAGAACTGGTTACATTCTGAAGTTCTTTGGCATAGGCATATCTGTTCTTTGTTTTCCTTTCATTTAACCTTTGTCCCACACAGGGGATCTTTTTCTTTGTTCACAGCTGCATGACTTTGAACCAGACCATAGAAGCTGAGCTCTGCAAAAATAATCTTAGTAACAGTAGGAAAATTACTGTGACACAATGGCCTTCAAAATATTTTGCTGAAACAAATTGGGCCTGGTGGTATACTCCTGTAATCCTAGAATTACAAAAAAAAACAAGAACTTTGAAAATATCAAAGCTCTCTTACTATTAGCAACATCTGCATTGGAAAATTAAAATAGTAGTAAAGGTAGTAGCACAATAAATGAAAACATTAAAAATGCTGATATTTCAAGTGTTATTAAGCATGGTTTGAATGATGCCTTTGCTTCTGTTGTGAAACGTGGGACACAGAGCAAGCTTTGTTCCATGCATTGCCCATCTCCTTTCTTGGCTTGCAACATTTCATCCTAGCACTTTCAATTTCATGAAACATCTCAGAGTTCTGTGGCATATTTTTGTTATTGTTTGGTTTGGGTTTTTGTTTTCTTTGCCAGAGTCACATTCATTGGGCCATCTTCAGTTTTGTCACATGGTCCTCACTTTCCTCTTTCTGTGGTTGACTTCACCTTCCCTGAGCTGCTGGGCTGTGTCTTGGGAGGCCCCTGTGTGGTGGTGGCCTCAGCAGCACCCCCACAGCACATAAAGAGTCATGTGGGTTGACAAGGAGACAACCAACAACCGTGCAACTGGCTGTCTTTGCATGAACTGAATACTAGACGTGCAGTGACTAGTCACCAGCAGCCTTCAGAAGTAGTCAAGTGACTAGTCACCAATCATGAGGCACACCTGCTATTTTTATAGCATGATTTGTGCACTGAGCAGTTAGCTTGAAATTTCAGGTAGCTGCGTACCTGTATTTTTGGTAATTAAAATTGGAGTTGTACTTGGCTATGTAATTAAACCATGGAATCCATGCACATCAGAACTGTATAAAATGAGGACTGCAGTAGTTTATCTCTGTATATGCCAGACATCTTTCATTTCCTTTTCTTTTTCGTCCCTACTCAGAATTATCCCACAAGGATTTTGGTTTCTACTCAGTGGTATTTGGGTAAATGTTTCTATGGAAGTCATTGCTAGGAAATTTAAAGAAAAAAATCCTCCATCACAAAAGCTTTGAGATCTCACTAAGTCCTGGAGGCCTCACTCGAAAGCATAGTTAAAGGACGTAATGGAACAGGGAATTTTTCATTAAATATGGAAATCATCCCAAAGAAATGAGGACGTATGCTAAGTTGCACTAAAGATTTCTATTCAAGAAGACAGAATATCATTCCAGGAAATAGTATTACAAAAACTCATTCTATGACCTGAATGGTGGCCCCTAATAACAGAT